TTAGAGATTTCCTTGACAGGTTGACTTTTTTCTTTTTTCCTTCTGGCTTCAAATGTGCGTGACGCTCGCCCAAATCGCAATTTCGTTCGACTACGGGAAATGACGGAGAATCAGGATATTTAATTCAAAAAGGATTCGGTCGGTCACGAAGAAATAAAAGAATTCGAAGGCAACAAGCGTGGACACCGCCTTCCGTAACGCGCTTCTTAATGGTGCATTAACCTTTGTCGGCCCTCGAAATAGCTCGCACGATTGCAATTAAGGTATCGATCGTAAATTCGCTCGCCCCCGAGAGAACAACTTGTAGCGACGCGAAACGAGCAGCTCGTAAGAACTCGCCCCCATCGTACGCTTTCTCCGCCTCGGAGCTGTCAGAAGCGGCGAGAGTCATTTTTACAAACCGCTAATTCGTTACCAACTTTTATCACTGCGCTCGTAATTGCATGCCGCTCCGACGGGCCTTCATTATGAACCTAAGCACCTTCAATGTTCATCGATCAATCCCGTAGCTTGTAATCTTTTCCGCATCGACACGTATGCGTTCGTTTTCCCATTATGACCCCTGATCAACGCGTCTTCTTTCATTCCTCACGCATTTCAAAAAAATTTATTCCAGCTTATATTTCACTTCGTAAAAAAGCGAGTGTAATTAAGTATTAGAAAATATGAAGATTTGTAATCGCAATTTTATTTCATTACAATTTCTATTATTTTTCAAAGATCGTCCATACACGCGAATAGATATTTCCCATAATTTATAAAATTTCTATAAAACATAAGTAGGAAATGGTTGTTAATTTCGTCGTCGGTTTCGTGTCGTATCGACTTCATCGCGATTTTATCATGGTTAATCACCGGCAATCTTGACGATTAACCCTTCCGCACTTGGAACCGCGCGGGAGGATGAAAACGCGTCTCTCCCGTGCGAAGTACGACGAGGTGGGCAAGGGTTAATACCTCACCTCCATCCTTCCCGCCGAAATCATCGCGGAACGAGGCGTGAGAAAACGATTATACTCGGCAAGGCCGCTCTCTCTCGTCGAAGGGGCACCCGCCGATACATTATAATGCGTATTTATGCGTTCAATGTTGCACGCGTATGCGTCGCACGCGTGTGCGACTGGCGCGAGAAAGAGGAAAACAAAAGTATAGTCGGGAACAAGAGGAAGAGATAGAGAAAGCGCGATTGCGAGAGAGCGATAGAGGGAGAGAGAGAGAGAGAGAGAGAGAGAGAGAGAGAGAGAGAGAGAGAGAGAGAGAGAGAGAGAGAGAGGAGGAGGAGGAGGACGGAGGACGGAGGACGGACGGACGGACGGACGGACGG